CAAGAGAGAGAAAGTAGCTTCTTAATGACATGACATTTTAGGTATGGCTTCTGTCACAGAAGTTTCTAAAGCTGCCATGTATATATTTTAATTATGAAATATATGAGACTACAGCAATTGCTGATTGATTAATCTTCTCTCATGTGCTAGAGAAGCCGTCAGTGATCAAGATAATGTTGCACATTATAATATAGTTCTTATTTCTTCACAAACTTTATCTTCATTTTAATGTAGTCATTAGCAATAAGCAATATCATTCATTTCTTGTTCTTGGATGATCTTATTATTTGATGGTTGGTTTGTCTTAGTTGTGGTCATCACTATGCAGGGATCCTGACAGAATATTGCATTGGACAGTTACTGCTTATTTCATGTTTTGGGAAATATACACCAGCTTCTTTCAGAGGTCACAATATTCATACTGTTTTGTCACTGTGGTGAATTTTTTGTCACAGCTATGTTGCATTTTTATTCCTACGCACTGCAAATAAAATGCATTCTTTTGTGGGCATGTTTTTCTGATCCTGCTCCAGCACAGTAATTCTCTGAATTTTTTGATCAGTGGATATTTTTGCAGTTCCCATAGCTCTCTTGTATCTTATTATTTCTTGCCATTACAAAAGACAAAAATAAGAGGAGTGATAATAATTCTGCTTTTAATGAGAGTTTGAAAAATTAAATTTCATTCTATAGCTGTGATAATTTCAGGGCAGCTCACAGACTGCTTAGCAGCCCACATGTTGAGAACTATTAATCTTAGACAATTTTGACACTGATAACCCATTCACTACTGCCTCAAGTCTCCATTGCATAAGGCTGTGTGCTGAGCATTGCATTTCTGAGACAAAATAAAGTGTGAACAATGATAGGGTCACGTTTTTAAAAGAAAAATAGCTTACACATGCATGTTCCAATGCAATACATACAGATGTACAGGTATGATTTATGGAGTAGTTTCAGTCCTGGAAAACACTGCATAATGTGAAAATATGTCAGACTTTTTTTTCGTGAAGTTGACATTAAAAGTAGGTTACATGCTTGAGCAGGTATTTTCAAGTGGTAAACTTGGTGGCTGTTTTGCTTATTTTAAAAAGCGTTTCTTCTTCTCAAACTATATGGATGTTAGGCTTATAAAGCCTGTTCCATGATGTTTAATCCAAGAATTGTTCTTTCCATGCCTACCTGGAATATCCCGTTTCTTGGGGTGTAAAGTAGTAGTGCTAACTTCATTAATCTGTTTTACTGCACTTTCTGAACATAAAAATATATTTAAACCTACCAAACTAATATTAAATAATGAGATTACATTAAAATATATATTTATGTTCCTCTGTATACTTTACTGCTAGCCCCTTCTGATGCCCACAATCCTCCAAATGTGAGATCAAGATGTCTGACGTCTGAAATGAGGCATAGGCACAGAATGATCCACATATATACATAGATGCTGCATAATGAGCAATGTTGTTGACCGTGAGAACCACATAAAAGCAAACACACACAAATGGAAGCCACATAAATCAGGATATAACTGTACTGACTTCCCCAGACATTGAACAGTTCACAGTGTAACATAACATAACCATAATTAGCAGAATTATTGCATGTCACCTACTTATTACATTGAAGTGCTTTATGCTCTGTATTCAGCTTGCTACTGCTGGATTTCTGTTTTAAGCAAATCTGAGATCCACATAACATGAGTGATTTGGTTGTTTCAGTGATATTTAATTACACTATATCAGCTGAAGAGATTATTTAGCACCAAATCAGATGAGAGGATGGTCATGTACAGTGAGTGTGAAATGATTGGGAAGGAAGTGGTTATGTCCTATTTCAAATTTCTTTTACTTTTAGTGACTGAGTAAAATGACAGGAAGCCTCAATCAGGATAACTGATTCACAGGAAGTACTTGAACTGGATACCTCCTGTACAGAAGCATTAACATAAGAATTGACCACCTCAGTACCCTTCTATGACACTACTCCATTCATCATTTATGTTTACACTGTATGTACATATATAATGCGATTCAAAATCCATCTTTATGACCTCTAGTGCAGGTTATATTGCATTATATGCTGAATATATGTGTGAGATAGTACAATATGAAAATTTAATCACTGAAGTTATAGTACCTCCATTCTTTTTTCATACTCTCCCATAGTTGCCATGTGATCACATTATGCTGATAACACATATGAAAGATGCCAAACATTGCCATGAGAAACAAAAGTAAGAGGCTAAACATCTGACAGTAATGGACGTATTTTCGCCCTAAGAGCAAAGCAATCCCACCTTACACATATTTAAGAAATAACATTTTTGTTTGTGTTTTTCTGGGTTATGATTTTATGTAATTAAGGGTGGTTACACATATTTCTGAACCTTTTGAACTCAGGTTGTGTATTTTAATTTTTATCTTGTGGTTCATCAGACATTCCTAATTTTCATTTATACTACATCTGTTTCCAGTGAGCATCACTATCTCCAGATCTGCTTGCTAATTATAAAAGTGTACTTCCATGGCATGATCTGTGGCTAGTTTTAATATGGATGGTAAATATTAGATTATGTCATTATTTAGAAATAGATGAAAATCTTTGTCATCAAAATGAAGAGTCCCACATGATTTGACAGTACTATTGAACATGAAGATGCATATACTGCTTGTAATGACACATTTTTAAACTGTAAAATACTCGTATATTTTTACCCTGCATATCTTGGGGCTTAGAAATGGGGAAAATTGCATAAATAAATACTGTATATTTGTATTTAAACATGAATTTACTGTATTAGGAATTGAATTAATTGTACAAATTTAACGTTATTTGAATTGTGATATTATAGTCTTAAGTTACATTGCATGTTGTTTCTTCATTATGAATGCTGTTTCCAGGTAGTAGATGGTCAATTTATCTAGAACATAGTGGACACTACAGTGGTAAAGTAATGTGAATTTAGTTCCAGAAAATCACATTACCAACTGTTTTAGTAAAGGGAACAAATTCCTTTTGCAGAAAAAAAAACATGTAATACTCATACAGAATATCTCTTTGTTACACATACATGCCTGTTGTGAACACTGCATGAAACTCAAACTATCATTATACATATTTCTTTTCTGCATGTGTATATACTTTTACATTAACAATTCTTCCCACTCTTCATTTTGCTTATTTTATTTGCAGAATATTGCATGCTGTAACACTGATAACCCTACTACTGCATGTAACTGTGGCATTTTGGAATATTCCTTCCTACAACCATCCTCAAGTGATCGTCATCAGCCATATTTGGAACAAGATACGTCATTGGACTCTCAGTAAGCATATCATTTGAAAGTTCATATTAGAATTTGATGTTAGTAGTTATACAAATCACATGTTTGTTATTATTTTAATTAATTTGTTATGTGAATAAAATGACATGATAATTCTAATTTGTTATTAAGAGTTTGCCACTATTATGTTTCCTGAATTCTACAATTTATCAACAAAACCTTGTTACCTAATCGTTATGTTAACAGAATATACATTTTGATATGTAGTCTTATCCATTGTGTTAACCTTCATGAAGATTTCTTAACATCCATGCAAGGCAGAGGACAGATGTAAAGTAGCAGAAAGCTGCTTCGCATAAATTCTGCCCATTTCACATTCTGTTTAGGAGTATCCAGTATAGGTATTTCCATTTAAGGCCTACTTTATTTTGACATTTTAATAAGACTTTGTAATCTCTGCTTACACTGATTAGATATGAGAATTAAAGTTAGTTTGAATTTGGCTCAGAAAATTGTCATAAGTGGGAAGTATTCATGTGCCACACTAGAAATTGCAACAATTAATGATGTCCTCAAGTAAAAGTTGCATGTCAGCAGTGGTAAGAGTTTTGTTCATCCATGGTGGTCCTCTGGGTTGTGATACCATGTGGAGGAGAACATACTGAGTAAGTAGAAACAGTTACCCTTTATTGCTTACTTTATTTTATGTAACGTTGTGACATGCCAGTGTTTTTAAGAATAGTGAATTAAATTTGCATCCTTTGGCAGTAGATAGCAAATTAAGTCTTCTAGTTGCCTATGAATATAAAAATATTTCATTAGATGTTGCTCTGTGTTTGTTGTCTTCTCAACTTGAATGTTTCATTTCCATTTGTTTTACTATGGAATCAATTCAAGTGGACATGACTGAATGTCACGCTGCTGTCTGAAAAATGTGTTGACATTTTGGAGAAACAAATCAAAATTGATGTTAATAAAGAAAAACTAAACCATTACCAGAAGTTGTTTGTTGGAGTTTCATGTGCTGTTTGTAAAGGAGAACGCAAAGTGTGCTGGAAACAATGGACTTTGTGTGCTTTACAGGCAACAAGGATGTATCATCACATACCTCAACTGGTATTAGTCCCTACTCTTAATGGAAGTCAAACAACAGTCTATTTTTAAAATTCCAATATCAGTCATGAATCTTCAAATTTAAATTGAAAGGGAATTTTATTCACATATGATGAGGCTCCAATGATGCCAGTGTATTGTTTCTAAGAAAGAGATTGGTAAAGTGTTAATAAATAGTAGTACAGATTTGGGGGATGGGATTGTATTGTTAGCTGATTTTAGACAAATATTGCTGGTTACTGCTAGAGCATCTAGAAGAGAGATTGTTGAATGTTATGAATAAATGTATGATCATAATTACTGGTACAGAAGTTGGTGGAACATATATGAGGGAAATAATGAAAGCTTCAAAAGAACAGCAAAAACTATCCCCCCCCCCCCCCCCCCGATTCCCAAAGTGATACTGTAGTTTTCTTGTTTGCTAAAACTCTTAATTAATTTGGATACAATATAAAGCATATACAGTAAAATCCCTCAAGTTGGACACCCCTTCATATTGGACACTTTTAATTGGAACCAGCAAATATCCTATAATTTTACATGTCCACAATGCCCTATATCTTGGACACCCCTTTGTCCTGGAATTTGAACACCCCTTTTGTTGTATGTTGGACAGGTTCATGCACTTAGCTTCAAAGCTTTTACATATTTTGTTATTTTGAATTTCTGACCGTTGAATGCCTCCTCTCTGGAGGATTATCTTATGGACATTGAACCCATCATTGGAATGCATTGCAAGTGTTTTAACTATTCTTTTGCTGAACCCTTTACTGGACTACAGTATTGCAGAAGACACAGTTTTAACTCCATCAGTACTGTGCTTGCATTTGAGTTCAGACTATGGTAACAGAAATGTAATTTTTCTTTTTGAGATGGGAAGCGAAAATTGGTGTAATAAATTTTAGAAAATGTTATTGAGGCTGGGGTGTAATGTGCAATGCATGGGAGTGGGCTTCAAAATATTATTATTAATACTATTGTCATTAATTCTTAATTCAAGGAAGCCTACAGTAATTAGTGTAAGAAAATAGATTATATTGTCTTTAGACCAAAATCTGACTTTTCTCTTTTTCTTTCCCTCTATTTTGGACACATCTGTAAGATGGACACATTTTCGTGGAATCCCAAGTGTCCAACTTAGAGAGGTTTCACTATACTATATTGGCACAAAGTGAGAATTCCATGGAGTTATATGATGAAGTTTTGGTCATGCCCTCTGAAAACTTGACAGTGTTTGTATGTGACTTCTGTAGAAGATAATACGAAGGTGGGATGAAAATTAATGCCTCCATTTACTTTACCACTAATCTTATATACAGGTGTGAAATACCGTCATTTATTCATGTACATCAACACGGTAACTTTTCCTAAGGTTCTACGCATTTGACACCAGAGAACTCTACTTTACAGTCGTAAAAGATGCATGGAATACCGAATTGAACGTGCATCCAAAAACACAGTCTCCTTGTTTTGACGTCATCCCGCTTTTATCTGTGATCCCACCCACTTCGTTTTCTGGTAAGATCTTGGCGTCGTTGTTCGTCATGGCGTCTATCAATGAAGTTGTTGCTGGATTGGTGTATGATTATTTGTTGAAAAAGGACACTTCTCTTGCACAAACATTTAAGAAGAAGACAAAGGCAGTATGTATATACACACGAAATTATTTTATGTGCATTTTATTGGTGTAGCTTGAGCTTGATAAATATTTTATAGTACCACGTGGTTTTCGACTTTTTTTCATAATGTTGAAAAGGAATGAATGCATGATTAGAATGTGATTATTTGTTGAAGACTGTGCGAAGACAAAGGTGGTGTGAATGGATATGTATGTTGTGTACTTTTTAATGATGTACTTTCAGCTCGGTATGTGCGTTTACTACACGTGGCTGGGTGTTGGTTTTCCCGTAACTTCACAAAGAACTAAATAAAATTGATTGTTTATTTGGTTAACCTATCAGAACCATACCAACATTACTGGTCTTACAGTCTGAGATGTGCATATTTTGCCTCTTCCTTTTATTGATTATAAACTTTTCTTTTACGAGCCGGTACTGTTTCTGAAGAGTCGGAAACTCCTCCCGTCAAGTGAAGTCCTCCAAGAACAAATAAATCATCAGAACAATACTACAGGATTATAATGTAGAATAGGCAGCTGCACATTGCACTCATGATAGGTTTCCCGCCCTATTCTAGCATCTTGCAGCACTCTGGTTCAGTCCTTATGAAGCATGACTTTGCTGGGAAATACAACAGCGAACCACAAAAGCTAACAGGGTGGGCACAGCTGAAGCCTTCTGTAGTAGCTGGAAGTTATGAGACTTTTCTGCCCTGAGCAGTTCAGGGCATTGTAATTTAGCCAGTGTGAGTCTGAACTACCTCACTTGGCTGCAAGATACATTAAGCAGCAGTTGTGAGCTCTTTAGCATGTGGTCCGAATGGAACCTGCCAGCAAGCAAATGAATACAGTCAGCCCACTCTATTGCATAGCATTCATCTGATTGTTTTTCACCCAAACTTCACAAGAAAAGGAAATGACTCTAGTTATTTGCACTTCAGAAGTGTTGCCATGCTTTAGCTATCAGCATGTATTGAATATTTTCATAGTCTTGCATATTGTCTTAGTTGCATGGAAACATAATTGATTTTCAATTGTTTCAACTGCATAGGTGGTGTGAAATGGTAGGGTGATTGTGGATGATGAATTTGAAAGGATTTAGAAGGAAGTGATTACAGTGTATTTAAAGTATTATGCCAGCATTCAACTGTTTGGACTGAGGGAAACCATGAACACCAGTTATAGGCCAAGATATGATCCTGGGACCTCCTGAATATCACGCAGGAGTTTTAAACACCATGCAGATTGTTTTGTGGTTAATGTGCCTGTGGTCTGGCTTTTTTTATTTATAATTTTGTTCTGTCATTTCAGAGGCCATTGGCAAAAGGATCACCGAGTTTATTCGAGGTTGTTAAATTTTACCAAAAAACTATACCGAAAGCTGAGTCATCTAACTCGGATTCAGGTATGTTATTTGAGAATCTGTTGATACAGTGAAATCTCTATCCATCGTTCCCGGAACTATTGTTTTCCCGGATGCATCGTCCGTTTTGTTCGGTCCCGAATACATCCCATATAAAATAATGTTACATTTTCCCGCTTCTATCGTTCCTCGAACCATCGTTTTATCGCATCGATCGTTCAAAAATCTTAGTCCCGGCCCACAATTTTCCCGCAATGATCGTTTCTGAGAATTTAAAATGCTGGGTTTAGAGATAAATTAATACCGAAAGACGCACAATGTTTTTGGAATACGCAGTAGCCGTGACCTGTTATGTCGCCCAACCAGCACATTCTTTTGGAATGAGGGTCAGCGGTGCAGGGGTGATAGTTGGAGTGAATGGCGGTGCTCATTGTCAGAAATTTTACGATTTTAATTAGGGTGCACTCATATTTCGTTCCAGCGATGCCAGATGGCATGTGCAGTGTGAATTTCTTCACAAATGCTTTTATTATAAGTACAAAGGAAAGGCTGGCGGCACTTTTCATTCTTCTGGTTCATCTCGTTTCCAGC